TTGTTTGTGTTCGCCTTTGATAATTTGTAAAAACTGACAAATATTTTGCTACTTAAGAGACATTCAGAGACTGACATTCATGCGATCCTGAGGATGATTGACTTAAATTTTTTCCTGATTGATTGAATATTGCTTAATACCTGATCGAGACTCTTTACTCGTATTAAAAATACTTGTCACGTGTCACAAACCACAGAATACCCACACTATTGTTGAAACTGAAATAAGTGTGTTATTTGATGAAATCATTTACAGTGTGACAAAAAGTTTCGAGCGTACCAAGGTTATAATAAAGTGTCATCTATAATGTGCGTCACTTAGATAACCTAGATTGAATCAAGAAAAACAACGGCCTCTCAAAACACGTGTATCTCACATGATTGGTCGTATCAGTTTACCAATATTCAGAAGTCTCTATAGCGTGACTGTAGATTTACTTATTTGTGTATCAGTTTACCAATATTCAGAAGTCTCTATAGCGTGACTGTAGATTTACTTATTTGTGTATCAGTTTACCAATATTCAGAAGTCTCTATAGCGTGACTGTAGATTTACTTATTTGTGTATCAGTTTACCAATATTCAGAAGTCTCTATAGCGTGACTGTAGATTTACTTATTTGTGTATCAGTTTACCAATATTCAGAAGTCTCTATAGCGTGACTGTAGATTTACTTATTTGTGCTTATAATACTGGAATAAAGAATTGCACACAGACCTTAATCACGATTTTTAGTTTTTGGAGTTTACAGCATTATGTATCCTCGTGATTTCTAATCGTGTACAACAATTTTTTATCGAAAGCACACAAAAACTTCAGATAAAGTAACAATTTAAAAGATTTTTTCCAGTTACCATGACAACTCCATTAAAAAAAATCCTAAACCGAGTAAGATGAACAAGATTATGAGCCTTTGGGTCAACTTGTGTACCAAGTTTCATCGAAATTAAAACAAAAACTGCATGTAAGAGGAGTAGCGATTTGAAAGAATTCCATTCGTTACTTTTGAGCTCACCTGAGCCAAATTTCTGATAAAAGAGTGCCCGGCGTCCGTATGTCGTCTGTAAACTTTTCACATTTTCGACTTCTAAATTTCTCATGAACCACTGTGCCAATTTCAAACAAACTTGCCACAAAGCATCCTTGGGTAAAGGGGATTTTAGTTTGTTCACAGGAAGTGCCAAACCCTTTTCAAGGGGAGATAATTAAGAATTCGTGACAATTTGGTGGCATCTTTTTAAAAATCTTCTTCTTACGAACCACTTGGCAAGAAAAGATGAAACCTATGTGAAAGCTTCATTATGTACTCTAGATTCATTTTTTTTCATACCATAACCTTCAAGGAGTCACAAGTTGGGGTCGAAGTTTTACATACGAATATATAGAAAATGTCTTAAAATATTCTTCTCGAGTCCAGCAGAGCCATGATATTATTACAGAAGTATCCTCAGGTAAAGTAGAATCAAATTTGTTCCAATCTTGACCCCTGGGGGGTAGGGCAAGACCACAACATGTGGTCAAAAGTCATCATAGGAATATTAAGGAAATATCTTGAAAATCTCCTTCTCAAGAACATCTATATAAGCCTTTTTTAGTCATATTTACACAGAAGCATTCTTAGGTATTGTAGAATCAAGTTTGTTCAAATTATGACCACCAGTGGTTAGGGGGCACAAAAGTGGGTCAAAGTTTTACATAAGAATATAAAGGAATCATCTTGAAAAAATCTTCAGCAAAGTCATGGTTAGTCACATTATTATAGAAGTATAGTAAAAAAAAAATGAAAGTGTAGATTCAAATTTCAAAAATGATAGTGTAGATTCAAATTTGTTCAAATTTAGGGTGGGTAGGGTGGGGCAACAATGAGCGATCAGAGTTTTACATAGGAATACATAGGGAAAAATCCTTAAAATTCTTCTGCTCAAGAAAAGCAAAGCCATGATTAGTAATATTGAGATGGAAGTCTTCTGGGGTAGTGTAAAATTCAAGTTTGCCCCCCCCCCCTTCCGCGTGAACTTTTCAATACTGAGATGATATCTGTTTTTTCCTAGCCAATGTGTTAAGGTGAACGATGTGGTCCATGGACCTCTTGTTTTAGTTACCGTGGCAAGATTGTCCATCGATATCAAAGACCAATATATTGTGAACATAATTGTAGTATATCTATTTCCAAATTTTATTGAAACCGCGTCAAGAAAAGGAGTAGCATTTTTGAAAGAATTACACAGAAGTTTCCTTTTTGATTAATAGTCAGTGGTTAGAGCGCTGGCACGGTACAGTGGCCCTGGTTTCGAGTTCCGTTTGAGACTTGATTTTTCAACACCTGTGACATTTTGCGCCCAACGTGGGTCCCAATAGGAATGTCAGCTAGCTTTTCTGATTCTTGACCCTTAGAGCTAAGAATTACTTACTGTCAGTTTTAAAATCATTTTTTTACCGTGATGAAATTTGACATAAAAATACGAAGTCAGAAAGACAGTACATTAGTACAGGCATTTGCTTTTGAATTGGAATAAAACATGGTGGCGAAAAGGGGGTTTCAAAAAAGGTGGGTTAGAGTAAGTAATGTGATATTGAACAGGCCAAAGCTATAGCGGTTGGTTGGTGTGATTTCTTACTTGGGTGAAACCAGAACTAGAGCGGGTGATGTGATGTCAAACAGGGCCAAGCTAGAGTCAGTGATGTGATGTCAAACAGGGCCAAGCTAGAGTCGGTGATGTGATGTCAAACATGGTCAAGTTAGAGCGGGTGATGTGATGTCAAACAGGGCCAAGCTAGAGTCGGTGATGTGATGTCAAACAGGGCCAAGCTAGAGCGGGTGTTGTGATGTCAAACAGGGCTAAGCTAGAGTCGGTGATGTGATGTCAAACAGGGCCAAGCTAGAGTCGGTGATGTGATGTCAAACAGGGCCAAGCTAGAATCGGTGATGTGATGTCAAACAGGGTCAAGTTAGAGCGGGTGATGTGATGTCAAACAGGGCCAAGCTAGAGTCGGTGATGTGATGTCAAACAGGGTCAAGCTAGAGTCGGTGGTGTGATATCAAACAGGGCCAAGCTAGAGTCGGTGATGTGATGTCAAACAGGGCCAAGCTAGAGTCGGTGATGTGATGTCAAACAGGGCCAAGCTAGAGTCGGTGATGTGATGTCAAACAGGGTCAAGTTAGAGTGGGTGATGTGATGTCAAACAGGGCCAAGCTAGAGCGGGTGATGTGATGTCAAACAGGGTCAAGCTAGAGTCGGTGATGTGATGTCAAACAGGGCCAAGCTAGAGTCGGTGATGTGATGTCAAACAGGGCCAAGTTAGAGCGGGTGATGTGATGTCAAACAGGGCCAAGCTAGAGTCGGTGATGTGATGTCAAACAGGGCCAAGCTAGAGTCGGTGATGTGATGTCAAACAGGGCCAAGCTAGAGTCGGTGATGTGATGTCAAACAGGGCCAAGCTAGAGTCGGTGATGTGATGTCAAACAGGGCCAAGCTAGAGTCGGTGATGTGATGTCAAACAGGGCCAAGCTAGAGTCGCTGATGTGATGTCAAACAGGGCCAAGCTAGAGTCGGTGATGTGATGTCAAACAGGGCCAAGCTAGAGTCGCTGATGTGATGTCAAACAGGGCCAAGCTAGAGTCGCTGATGTGATGTCAAACAGGGCCAAGCTAGAGCGGGTGATGTGATGTCAAACAGGGCCAAGCTAGAGTCGGTGATGTGATGTCAAACAGGGCCAAGCTGTGTCGGTGATGTGATGTCAAACAGGGCCAAGCTAGAGTCGGTGATGTGATGTCAAACAGGGTCAAGCTAGAGCGGGTGATGTGATGTCAAACAGGGCCAAGCTAGAGTCAGTGATGTGATGTCAAACAGGGCCAAGCTAGAGCGGGTGATGTGATGTCAAACAGGGCCAAGCTAGAGTCGGTGATGTGATGTCAAACAGGGCCAAGCTAGAGCGGGTGATGTGATGTCAAACGGGGCCAAGCTAGAGCGGGTGATGTGATGTCAAACAGGGCCAAGCTAGAGTCGGTGATGTGATGTCAAACAGGGCCAAGCTAGAGTCGCTGATGTGATGTCAAACAGGGCCAAGCTAGAGTCGGTGATGTGATGTCAAACAGGGCCAAGCTAGAGTCGCTGATGTGATGTCAAACAGGGCCAAGCTAGAGTCGGTGATGTGATGTCAAACAGGGCCAAGCTAGAGCGGGTGATGTGATGTCAAACAGGGCCAAGCTAGAGTCGGTGATGTGATGTCAAACAGGGCCAAGCTGTGTCGGTGATGTGATGTCAAACAGGGCCAAGCTAGAGTCGGTGATGTGATGTCAAACAGGGTCAAGCTAGAGCGGGTGATGTGATGTCAAACAGGGCCAAGCTAGAGTCAGTGATGTGATGTCAAACAGGGCCAAGCTAGAGCGGGTGATGTGATGTCAAACAGGGCCAAGCTAGAGTCGGTGATGTGATGTCAAACAGGGCCAAGCTAGAGCGGGTGATGTGATGTCAAACGGGGCCAAGCTAGAGCGGGTGATGTGATGTCAAACAGGGCCATGCTAGAGTGGAACGTGAAGCTAACGAACAGTAACCTTGCTCAAAAGTCCAATGAAACAATACAAAGAGCAAACACGGATATCTGAAAAGATCAGAGTTGGATCAGGTGCCATGGAGGAGTAAGTATCGACCGATTGATATGATGTCAAACACCAAAGACTAGAGTGGGTAACGTGACGTCAAACAGGGCTGAGCTAAAAGTAGATGATGTGATGTCAAATAAGGCAAAGCCAGAGCGGGTGATGTGATGTCAAACAAGGCATAGCCAGAGCGGGTAATGTGATCTAAAAGAGACCATCTGGAGCTACAATGGGTGCTGTGTGAATTACACCAGCTCTCATCCAAAATTCAGATAGCAATTGTTCTGTACTTTATAGAAGTAGTTAAAGTACATTTATTAAATACAGCAACTGAAAACTCAGTATCAACGAGGTGCCTAAGTTTATCGTAACTTTTTTGCATTCACTGACCATTATACAATATGGAGGTACAAATTAGAGCAATATGACCTATGTTGTTGTGAGAAATTCAGGTCATTATGGTACAATATGTATCAGTGAATTCAGAACTTTTCAAAACAAATCATGCAGTTCTTATCAGTCATCTGCACTTGATACACTATATTTTGAGGGTCAGTCATCGCGTCATAAAATCCACAGGTTCCTCCATGTCTCGGACACACCATTGGATCATTCTAATATTCCTTTGCTTTTTGCAGACTTTCCCATCGGGAGGCATCCCTAGATCTGATCACAGATGCTGCGTACCCACCAACTTCCGGTGTAACATGGATGTTACGGGTGGGTTCCTTAGTAACAGCGGTCCACATTTTGTTGACGTAGGTGAAATCAGCTGTTATAATTTTCGATTCTCTCTCTATCTCTTTCTTTCTCTGTGTATGAGTGTGTTGCTTTCATCCTGCAACAGCAGTATAATAACTTTGAATGATTTGCTGTATTTATGTACTTTTTAATATTTCAATGATACTGTTGAAGTGTCATCTTTACCCTTGGTGCTGGAATTTCTGTCTTCTGAGCTCCTGTTCGTTCTAGTTTTGAAACATTAATTGTGGTTTAGGGAAAAGACTTTTTTTTAATTGTAGAATCAAGTGTTACTTTACTTTGATTACGTCACACAAAGGACAAGGACGGAAACAGGTGTGATTCTGCCCAATGGTGGGCACCTGACACACACCGAAATAGCCGACTTCGCCAAGGTAGTCAAACATTATTTTTTTACGCAATGATTTAAATATGTTAGTGACTTAGTTGCCATCAGATTGAAAGCGTAACATCTATGGATATTTTAAATTTTTAACAGCATAGAGTCTTTAAAATAGATGGGAGCTCTTGTGTCGAAAGTCACATGAATGCTTCAATCCAGGAACAATGTATCTCTGGTAAGACTTTAGTTATATATACAGCCAACTGTCTCTAGAATTCACAAACACAAATTTTGTTCTAAGTTTGAATGACCTTCCTTGTTTTTCTGTTAATTACACTTCCTTTCTACCATTGATCTGTTATTTTGCAAAAGGTGATGCAAGGCTCGTGTCATCTGGTTATGTTGGATCTCCGAAAAATCCACTCAACGTACAAACCTGGCGGTTCTCCATTCCCGGAACTGACATCATCAATTATCGGACGTTGACTGAGACAACTCCGGGAAAATGTATACCAGTACTGCAAGCCGAACATGGTTTTCTGAATGGAGGTATGCAATTGAGAAACTAAAAGTATAGTCTGGTTCATGGTCAATAACCCGTGTTTATCTAAGATAATTTACTTTTCCCCAAAAAAAGAAGACAACTAGAAGGGAAATGTTTTGATGACAAGTTTTTGTTACATTACTACTACATGCCAAACAAAAATATGAGTTACGCATCTAATCTTGATATACAAATTTACAGATATATATATAGTTTGTGTTCGTCTTTCTTTGCTCTAGTTTAGTTCTGAGTACATTTAAGTACCATGTTATGTTGGACCTTTTTATGTCATATTTTAACCCCTTTTCCCCAAAACACAACTTCTAAAGTTTACACTCTGATTCAGTTGTCTATATATATTTCCAGCTTACTCTGCAATGACATACATCATATCAGACGTCCATATTGGCGGCGCTTCCTCATCCTTATTTGATTCACGACCAGACACGTGTCATAAAGTGTATCCTCATTGGTAAATGAAGATTTTATTGTGGAATTCATTTTATTCACTTGACGCTTAAGCGTCGTCATTTTGTATTATATTATTATCATTTTTTTTTAGATATTTAAAATATGTTTAATGATAATATTATGTACCATTTTACCTATTTTTAATATTGCAGATTGGTCATGGATTCCGTGGAAAGCCATTCTCTATCACCTCTAAGTAGTCTCCATTGTCAATGACTGTATAGGGCCTGTATTTTTATGATTTTATATTTGGAAATATAAAAAAAATTATGTCTACATCTTCTTCCATTGCAGTGTACGAGCTATTGTTTCATAGACTTGATCATTATCGTTACATGCCAAACAATAATACAAGTAATGCATCTGATTTTGTATACTATTGTAATAACAAAACACAGCTACTCGGCGGCAAAAGTAATTTTCGTCCAGTAAGGTGGCATTAAATATTAGCTGAGTTTTACTTGTTCCTTGACAAGTCCAATCTTCAGCAGTCCTGTATTACAATTGTCTCTGGAAAAATGTTCCCTAAATATCACTGACTTGGAATGTTTGTTTTTCTAGATATTTACTGGTTAAAACAAGTGAAGCAGCAGTTCTTATGTAGATCTGATTGATCTCTTAACTTTATCATGCATTCGCAAAAGAATACACTTTTTCTCTTGTGTCGAGTGATGTCTTATTGGATCTATTAGTCTACAAGGCTACTCTTTGTTAAGGTTATTCTGTTGGGGGGGGGGGGGTGAATGAAATGACAAATGCATGTTAAATACTAGTATTCAAAAAATGAATACAAAGTGAAATGATTAAATATTGAGAAAATTATTAAACCTTTAATTGTAGATAAAGATATATACACGGCAAATTCAAAGAAAACGCATTGGATTTATAGAGTCACTAGTCTATGGTGTAGCTTCTAAACTATCTTCAAAAGTAGTTTTCGTAAATAAAGATTAATAATATTAAATAATACAAATTGTATCAAATTTGGAGAATTCTTATTATTATACTGAAACGCAAAAGAAACGCAACATCCTATTTTAGAGGGGAAAATTATATAAAGGATATAATTTTGTATCTAAAAAGTACGGATATCTTCAACTTTGTAAGTATCGATAATTTAACGGTTGAATGATTTTCATGCCATAACCGGAAGTTAAGTTTGAGCCCGCTGAACAGAATTAAAAAATTGCATGTTTAACAAAAAACTTGACAAAAATCTGGGTTTTAAGGGTTTGTAACTGTTTATCATAAGTAATGCAGCAATATTTCGCAAAATAAATACTCCTTTCGTTTCCGGAAGAGATGCCAAGGCTTCCTGAAAATGACTTAAGTACGCATTTCAAATGCTCTAGCTGGAAAATCTGAAAATAAAGGTGATGGAGAATTGCAGGTGCAAAAATGCCCGACAATACGCCTCAACAGGCTCATACGTATCATTAGCATGAATGATAGTCCGTGGACCGGAAGTCCAAGTGTTACTACACTGCGCTAGGTTAGAGAAAATTCGACTTCATCATCTGAAAAACGGACATTTAAAAATGGCAAAGAATATTTTTTTCGCTCAGATCCCGAGATTGATGAACTTACTGCATCGTCGAAATCAATCTGCAATTGCTGTGCATGGCAGTCTTCCACGCTATAATTGAAGGGGGGTGTTTTAACAGTCATGTGTTACTTTCTAAAGTTAAAAGGTAATCATTTAACATTGTTATCAAATCTTTGATGCTTTTAAATCGAGTTTAACTTAACTGTAATCAGTTTTGAAAATCATTAGTTAAAAGGTTCAAATATTTGTAGATTACTGCTAGTTGCGTTTCTTTTGCGTTTCAGTATATAATCGGGAATTGTGAATAAACTGTAAACAATGAAAGAGAAATGTATTAGTCACCTACTAGTGAAACCGGAGAGGGCTAGAGGTTTCCTTCCGTCCGTCGGTCCGTCTCTGTCAGTCTGTCCTACCTGGTTCTCCGCACTTTTTTTTAATCTCTTGCAGATATTATTTAAGGTCAGAAGACACATTCCTCTAACATATATGTTTTTTTCAATATGTTTTAAAAAATAACTACACCAAAAATTGTGACATTGGCATTTCAAAAGATTACCCATAAGGATTATATAAGAAATATCACCCTCTGGTATCTTGCCCAAATGCCTGGTAAGGTACCTCAATTTTTTTGTGAGGAAACTTGTTTAAGTAGCAATACTTCAATGACAGACTCTTGGGAAAAGTTATATATTTTCGAGGAATGTGTCGTCTGACCTTACGTAAACTGAATTTTGGTATGTGAGTATACCTTGATGAATTTCAAATAAAGTCTGCTTTTCGTTCCGTGGGATGGATTTTGACATTTCTTCTGTACATATATTGGTTGTATTTTAACACGATATTGAGACAATTCAATCACGTGATGTGAGTAATACTATAGTATGCTGTAGTGGACGCGAAAATCAAAATCGATGACCAATCTTAAAGCCACAAACAAACTTTTTTCTCTCAAAAATCATGAATAAATACTAGTTCTATTCTTATATAAGTGAAATGAATACTGTAAATCACTTTTTTCGCGAGAACTTTATTTTCGTGTAATTACGCGAGACAGTGTCCTCGCGAAAATTTCATTCTGGCGTATATTAGTATTTCTTAAGATTATTTAGAGCAATAACCACAATTTGTGAAAATATTATCTCGCTAATAAAGAGTAAATGACGAAAATGAGGTGTCGCGAAAATTTAGTGATCTACAGTAAGTTAAGCCACATAAACACGATAAAGTATTTTCCAATATTTCTGAAAAAGATTTATAAGTGGAACTGCAAAAAGTGAGAATTATGAATATCATTAAAAATCTCAATATTTTAAGAGTAACTATGATATATACAACCATAACAAACCATGCATCTAATTTTTTGTTTGTAACAAGTGTCCTTAAGAAGGATTATGCATAACCCTTTAATACGGATTTGAAAGATGTTTAAGGCGCATCACCATTGCAGATTGTCGTTAATTTGTTCTAGGCATCATGAAACGCCACTGACAGTAGCGTATATTCCATATAAACAAAAAGGCTGCAGCCTATGCACGTCATTTTCTCAATGTGTAATCTGCATATGATGGTGAATGAATTAAAACGCCTGTTAGGGTTCGTAGTGTTGACTTGTTTATTTTACAGATAAATAATAATTGCCCTGAAATATATAACAACAAAATTGAGAATATCATAAAATCATTGTACAATTCAATTTTATGCACAATACTGCATAAAGGGATATAACTCTTACATTCATCAAATATAACCAAATACTTTGAATTACACTTCCTGTATATAATTAAAAATACCTTACAACGAAATATATATTACTATTTAAGCTTATAATATCTTCATAGACATTATATACCTTTTGTGAATAAACAATAGATCATAAAAAAAAATAGCATACCATTCTGAAAGAATAGGCAAGCTCCCGCGCATATTAAATGCATCTCCCATCATAAATGACTGGGAGTCCAGATGATAACTATAAATTATCATAGACTTTATATAATTCTTTAATCATAAAACATATCTGTACTTATTTTTAGACCATAATATACACTAGCTTTAATGCTAATAGCTAATAAAATTCTGACTTCCAAAATATCTTTTTTACAGTGCAAGGTGCTATGTACATTAATATTGCCCAAATTACAGGTTTCACAATTAATTGAACTATATTATAGATATGTTAAAATTAGTAAATAAATATTAACTTACCATAAGATGAAGATATTGTTACAGTCAGTTGGTCAAGTTTGTCAGATACAAAATCTATCTGACCTCTCTGCAAAAGATCTGGACAAAGAGTGACCAGAAAAACCAAGAATATTTGGAATGAAACTTGACAAACCAATCTATTATACCTCTGCTGATTTTTTCCCTATACAACATTAGATCGTTAGATGTAACTAATTCCCTAGAAAGTTAAGAATGGACTAATCCCTATGTGTTAGTCAAATGAGCTAATCCCTGCTTCGAAAGCTAATTCCCGGTTATCGGTAATCCTCTAGATTGTACTTTTACATTGGTATATTATGTGAATGGACTAATCCCCGTGTGTTAGTTCAGTGAGCTAATCCCTGCTTTGAAATCAGGCTATCTGAATCCTCTACATTTTACGTTTGTATCGGTATAATAAAACAGTTAAAAGTATATCATTGCGGGAGTTAGCAAGATTACAGTTCCCCTCGACCAGGCCGGACTATTTCCCTCGACTTCGCCTCAGGAAATAGTCCTGGCCTTAGGGAACTGGAATCTTGCTAACTCCCTCAATGATATACTTTAACTGTATAGTAACACAAGAACACAAAACTAAAACCCAATCGAAACAAAGAACTCAGAACCTTAATTATGACCCTTAAGCTGTTAGGCAAATAACAGGGCAGTATTGCACGTTACACCTGAGTGACTATTTAACTTATTTAATAACCTGAAATAAAATATAACAAATAGAAAACAAGGCATTTTGATATTTATTAATTAATTATAAATTAATTAATAAATTCATCGCTCTTACATAAAAATCAAATATGTATACTAGTATATATATATATATATATATGGTTGGAAAAAAAGGGGGGGGGTATCATAAAATTTTGTTTATATTTAATTCAGCTTGATGTCGAATGTGAAAAAAGTATTGTTAGCAATCTGCACTTTACATTTTACGAGCTTGATCTTGATCATGACAAGAAATAAAAATTGATTATTGGAAATATTTGTTATCAGGAAAACTGAAAACGGGGCATTGGTTGAAATAGTATGATTCAGTAAGAAAGTTTCCATATTTATTTTAGCACTGTAAAGTCCCAATTAAATTGTATGGGGATAAATGAATTAAATTTCTAAATTTCATTATGTTTAGTAACCATCCACAGTGGGCTGTATCGAGGATAAGAGTGACTGGTCATTTGGCCTAGCGCTAACTTATTCATTTTTAATCTTAACATATGAAAGAAAAAGTTTTCCTAGCTTTCCTAAATATAATTGATCAATGGGGCTATATGGCCCAAAAGTTATATATATGTACATACATATATATATAATGTAGTTCTTGGCTAAATAGCTCGGGATCGGCATTCCATCTTTACCGTCTCTTATTTTACCTGGAATTTCGAAAATCAATGTTTTTCAAGTAAAGAAGAACGCATAGGTGTAGATAAGACTCATAAGTATTTGAGAGCACTTTTCTATATACATTCAGCATATTCTGCATATTAAGGTCACCATATATTACCACAAAGCCGTTGAACGTTGACCAGTTAGCTGTAACATCGAGTAGTACAAACTGAAACTAGACCCTGTAGTTGATAGTGATGGGTCATAGTGCAAAGAAATAAGCTGCTTAGGAAGGCCGAATGTTGTTATGGGCGCATCTTACTCGTGCAGTGGTAAGATGTCTGACGATACTGAGCTTCCCATTTACCATGAACGTCAGGTGAAGGAGTTGTGTGCTCTACACGCCCTGAACAACCTGTTCCAAGACAAGAAAGCTTTCTGTAAGAAAGACCTGGATGACATCTGCTTAAGGTATGAAAAGCTTGTGTATTTAACAAAAATAAGCCGAATTAAATATTTTTATCAAATGCTGTCCTCTAAATTATTTGGCTTATCCATGTTAATTTTGTGGCAGTCAGACAGGCCCATTCATTGGTGACAAGAAAGCTCTTATAAAGCACTAGTTAGAATAATCTAACTGTGTCTCAGGACAAGCCCTCACCACAGTTAGAATACGTCCCATATACTTGCAATGTAGCAAATCGGAGTGGATCCACTCCGAAATGATTTTGAAGAATACAAACGGAGTTGCACTGAAAATAACTACCAAATTAATCATAACAAACCTTTTTGAGATTGTATATGCCTTTTAACTTAAAAAATAATCCATATAAATACGAAAATTCAACTCATTTTCTCAATGTTTTTTCCTCGCTTCAAATTTAACGCCATGTTGACATTCGGAACTCTTTGGATTGTTCATCAGAGTTTGAGTTATCGCCCATGTTTATTTTGTAGTATTGCCAATACACGGAATGAATTCTATCGTTAAACCGGGTCCGTAGGACAATATCATTTTAACGATAGAAAGTTCTATCTAATAAAGCACCTGCCAAGAGCCCAGGGTTACAAATAACAACTTGCCCACAAGCAGATGCTAGTAATTTTGTCTGTGGTTGACCAACTCTTAAAGATGTAATCGCCCAAATGGCAGATAAGAAATTTATCAGTACTTTTCCAGAACTTGACCATGCTTTGATTCTTCAATTAAATGCATTTTCACTGTTTTCTAATGTGGCAGTCAGGCGGGTTTGATCGCTGGTGGCCAGATTGCTCGGTTGAGCAGCTGACTGGAGATTCAGGGGGTCCGGGTTCGAATCCCAGTCTGGTCCATCGCATTTTTCTCCTCTTCCATTACATTTGGTGCCATGCCATGCCCTGGAAGTGACAGGTGAAAGACCTGCCAGGGGAAAGCCTGGATTGGTGTCTTCTTGGGCCGAAGACCTTTAAGGAAGGAGGAATATGGGGGTCAGGCAGGTTCAATCGCCAGTGGCCAGATAGCTCTGTTAGTAGAGCACCTGACAGGAGATTCAGGGGGCCCAGGTTTGAATCCTGGTCTGGTCTACTTCATTTTCCTCCTCTCTCATTACACTACCTACAAAATTTTTCTTGACCCTGAATCTCCTTAACAACATAATTTTGCGAGGTCTCCAATGAAGAAAATATAAAATTTCATGCAATTTCTTTTATTCAGGATATCAAAATCATCAAGGAAATGAAAGACTGGACAGCAAATTATACTTCTCAGAGATTGAAATATGAAAAGATCAAGAATTTCTTACAAAGTGGAGTGAAAATTGTGGGCCCAAATATATCATTGTGGGAGTAAAACATGTAAAGTTGGGGCCCACATGGCTCCTAAGATTTAAAATGTTATTTGCAACCCTGAAGAACTCAGGGGGCCCAGGTTCAAATCCTGGTCTGGTCCATTGCATTATTTCCCTTCCTGTTGTAGCTGTTTTTTTCTAAATGCTTGGAGATATTGAGCTGATTTTTGGTATGTGACTTTACCTTGATTACTTATAGATCAAGTTTGCATTTCGTTCCACTTCAATGATTTTTTATGGAATTATGGCATTTTCAATTTTTAACGGGAACCAGATTACACTTGCCGGTAGGGGACTAGTATTGCTAATGCAATACTCTCAGAATGCTTGTTTAAATGGTAATTCCAATAGCTGTGTGTTTGTGCTTAGAATATAATTATCTTATGTAATTTCAGACTGTCTCCAGATAATTTCATCAATCCCCATCGCAGCATGCTGGGCCTTGGAAATTACGATGTCAATGTATTGATGGCAGCTGTCCAAACAAAGAATTGTGAAACCGTATGGTTTGACAAAAGAAAGTAAGTTTATTTTTGTATTCAAATTTTAAATTATATTGTAACAGGAGAGGAGAAAAATGCAACCAACCAGATCGAGACTCAAACCCCAGAATCTCCAGTCAGGTGCTCTACCAACAGAGCTATCTGGCCAACGGCAATACATACACTTGAGTGTAATTGACCAATACATTCCTCCCTCCTTATTGGTCTTCAGCCCCCAAAGACACCAACCCTGACTATTCCCTGGCTGGTTTTTCACCTGTCACTTCCAGGGCATGGCACAGCACCACATGTAACAGGAGAGGAGAGGAGAGAAACGCAGTGGACCAGACCAGGATTTGAACCCAGCACCCTGAATCTCCAGTCAGGTGCTCTACCAACTGAGCTTTTTGGCCATTGGCAATCAAACCCATGTGACCACCACACTCCTTTTCTCTCCTGTTATATTTGGTGCCATGCCATGCCCTGGAAGTGACAGGTGACAGAAGACGAAAACCTTTAAGGAGGGAGGAATATTTTGATCGAATCCTGGTCTGGTCCATTGCATTTTTCTCCTCTCCTATTACAATATTTACTGATAGTAAGCTCAGTTCTTGACAGTGTGTTAGGGTTTAATCTTTGGATTTATAATACCATAGCTTATTTATAAATATAAAATATATATATTAAACAAGAGGCCCAGGGGCCACATCGCTCACCTGAGCACTATGGCTAGGAAAAAGCAGAAATCACTTCAATCTTGAAAGGTTGAAAAGTTTAAATATAAAAGTGGTTGGGGGGGGGGGGGGGGGGTCAGGAATTGAACAAATTTGAATCTACATTATCTGAGGATGCTTCCATTTAAATATGACCAATCATGGCTTTGCTGTTCTTGAGTAGAAGAT